TGCTCTTTCCCTTCCTGAAGCCGGCCTGGCTGTGGCAGAGGTTGCTCAGGAAAGCCAGCAAGCTAATGTATTCATGTCATCTTGCATTTGGTGCCAGGACATGAAGTAAACACTGTCAGGGACCTCGCTCAGGTTCAAAGACGAGCCCTGCTTCTTATTCCGATCACATTATCCGTGGTCCCCGTACAGATTCATTGATTCATATCTTAAAAAGAAAAGCCTTCAAAACCCATTAAGCCTGCCTTGCCATTCCAGCCCTGCTCTCAAGGGCTGGGGCAAGAAGCATTAACTAATCTGCTCACATTACTTTGCCTTTGAGCCGAGCATCTCTCAGTGTCAATCAAGCGTGTCTGGAAGTGATACGCTCCGGCGCAGGGCAGCGAGTTCACTGCATGGAAAATCAATGTAGGAGCCCTCAGCTGGGCGCTGGGTGGGCAAAGACACCTCTGGAAAAGAACCCACGGATGAGGCTTTGCCGTGGTCTTACCGACGGCTGCTTTTTCTCAAGACCTCAGATGGTGTCTGGGACACAAGTGGGGACATCTTGGTGCCACCAGGTATAAAGAGAGAGGAGCAGGCCAGCCGGAGGAGGTGCTTGGGATGGTCCCACAGAACTCCCATCCCGGTGGAACCACTGGGGAGGGTCCATCCCCTCCAACCCGCAACTGCAGGGACCGATTATGGGATGAGCTTGGAAGGATTTGTCTTTACAAATATGTTCAGTGTTTTTTAGGGCTTGGAAATGTCCAAGAGGATGTTGTCACCGAGTGGGGACGAATCACAGTATCCCAGTCTCTTGCTGATGGGATGGAGAGCCAGGATCCCCCAAAGCTCACTCTGCTTTCTCTTTCTGACCTCATCACTTCATGAACCAGAGCTGATCAAGGCTGCTTGGATCTGACCCTGGTTTCAAAACCCATTTGTGTGGGGAATCTGTTTTCCAGCACAGAGGTGTGGGGAGAGGTGTGCGTGCTGCTGAGACCGGGGAGGGGGAGGCAAAGCCATCCTGCAGACATTGGGATCAGCTGGCTGAGACGTGGCCATGGGGAATTACATGCAGGGCTGAGCTTGTCAGATTACCCAAGCGGGGGGGGGGGAGCGGGAGAGACAGGAGATGGAGGGGAAGGAGAGGGGAGAAGGTGGGTGAGGAGGGGAGGGAGGCACGTGGGGAATAGGGGGCCCCCAGCACTGACCCCATGTCAGGAAATGCATGGGATGCATGGGGTGGGAATGGGCTCTGCGTATTGGTGCCCACCCCACTGGCATCTGTCTGGATGCAGCTCAGTGCTGAAGGTTTCACAGAGCTCCCTCTCCGATCCCACCCGAAGGTCAGAGGAGAGCGTCCTCATTTGCTGCCCGTTAATTACTTCTGATCCTGCTCTAATTCCTCCTAACACCATCCCCGAGAGCCTCCAGGTGGCTGCTGGGCAAAGGGCAACACCAGGGCTGGGACAGCGGGGTCCTGGCAGGAGGGACGCGAGGGGCTGCGTGGTGATGGAGCCATGTGCACCACCGCCCTGCTGCTCGGCACGCTGGTCGTGATGCTGCGGAGACGCTTCTCCAACAAAGTGGAACCGTATGTCCTCCTCTGCCATGGGCTTCGGGTCCCTGTAGCTGGGGACAGGGTAGTGAGGGTGGCCCTGGGGTGGATGGCAGTGGGTGGCTCAGCTGGTGGGGAGGTGACAGCTGGGATGGGAGTTGCTGCAGTCCTGTGGTTACAAAGCCGTGCTGGAGAGCGTGGTTGCTTCTGTGCATCCTCACCTCGATGTGCTCACGATGGGAGGGAGCATTGCTCCTGTTGGGTGCTCACTGCCTGCCCCAACGCCAGGCTCAGCCGGAGGTTTCCACTGTAGACATGCAAATCTATTTACCGACGGAGGCTGGAGACATCCGAAAGTGGGGAGGTCAAATTGGTGCTTAATGAGCCAATTAAGCCAGGGCATGGAGAGTAGGAACTCAAGGCAGGGAAGGCATCTCCTCCTCTGCGCACACTGCAGCCCTCCTCTACCTGCATTGTCCACTGAATTAAAGCTGCCTGAGCAAACAGGGGCTGTGTAGGGTCATCAGGGCTCTGTCCCCAGTGGAGTTGTGGCCACAACACGAGCCTTGCCCTGGGCTGCTGGGAGCTGGACACAGCACGAGGGCTCCATTCTAGGCTATCTGAAGCTAAAGGAGCAGCAGGTCACCTCCTGCCCAGCCTTGCAGCAGGTTTGTAGCAGAGAACAAAGCTGTTTCTGCAGGGGAAGGTAACAGGTTTTCTGCTTGCTCTATTTTGGACATCCATCTACCCACCTCGCTCTGTGCTGGCATAAATCACTGCAGCTCCACTGACAGGTTTATACCAGGAGAGAATTCGTCTTCAGCCTTGAAAATAGAAGTGACAAGAGGGAGAGAAAGAAGTGTTGCTGGTCAGAGACTGTGGAGAAATGTGAGAGGCGAGCAGGGCAGAGTGGAGCAGGCTTCGGATGGGCACGGCAGAGGGTGGGCAGCCTCCTCCATCGGGTGCAGTTGGCTGCTGGTGGTTGCGTTGGGGTTGGGGTTGCTTTGGGCCAGGCAGCCCCTGGACTCCACGCGCCGCAATAAAGGCCAACATTTCCATTGGGATGAGCCCAGGATTAAGGATGGCTCTGAAATCCAGTGCGTGCTGAAGACTGGAGCACATGGGATAAAGCTGCTGCGGTGCAGGAACGTCCCCGGCTCTGACGTTCCCGTGCATCCTGGGCAAAGGACACAACCGTACAACACAAGCAAGATGAGATTATGTAAAATCCCCTGCTCATTGACCTCCTTCACGTCCCGTCTTCTATTTATATGCCCTGGGGCTGCCAGGGACAGAGCGGGGTGTCCTCGGTCTGTGTTGGCAGGGCTGGGGTGCTCAGCTGTGGGGTGGGGGTCAGGAGAACCCTGGAGCTGGCTCCACATCCCACATGGAGGGACTCCAAGGGTTTCCTCCTCACAGTGCTCACCTGGACCAACCTCCCCATCCAAGGACAGGGAGGTCCTTGGGCTTCAGCACTTGGTTTTTGTCACCCAGCAGGGTTCTGCTTGCTATGTGTAGTTATGGGTGGCTGCTCGGCTTCCTTCCTCAACTTCTTTCCCCCAGTCTCCAGTGAAGCACAAGGGCTGCGCGAGGGGACGTGAGGTTGGGAAGGTAGAGGTGCCATCAGCCAGAGCTTTGTGCGAGGTGGGAGCAGCATCTGCACCTTGGGCTGCCAAAAACAGAGCCGGTGGCGCAGCATCATCTGGATTTCACCTCCCAGCCCCATCCCCTCTGGGAAGCAGGATGTGAGCTCCTCATTTCCAGCACCATCAGGACACGAGCTGCTCATTGCCAGCACCAAGCAGGACGTGAGCTCCTCATTGCAAGCACATCTCCGGGCTGGAGCAATCAGCACACAGCAGGCAAGCACAGACAAGTGTCAGCTGAATCTCTGTGCGATTTTAAATACATTAGTGAGGCCACGAGTACAGCTCCAAGCCGATAAATAACCCCCAAACCAACCAGCAGGAAAATAACCCCCTCCTTCCACCGGAGACGAGGCAGGAGGCAGCGTTAGCATCGCTTTCCCCCTTGTTTCTAAGAGCAGATCTCCGTGCTTTAATCCAGACCCACAAGGGTCAATTCTCTGCCACTTCTGCGGAGTCATTATACTGCCTGTTATATAAATGTCTGGGCATGCACAAAAGGCAGTGCTGGTACAGAGGCTCCGACACAACTCTCTCCAACACCTGCTTTCAGCTGGGGAGAGAGCCGAGCGCGAGAGCATCTCGAGAGCTGTCACACTGAAAGCTGCTGTCTTTCAAGCTGAATGGAGGTCTAAATAGCTCTCACTTCTCCTTTAGAATCTCATTTCTAAATGCAATTAATACTGGCACATGCATAATGAGAGGCTGACGAGTGAATGCAGACTCCAGCAACAAGAAGGCAGCCCAAGTGCTATGTAAATATTACAAATCCTCACTCAGAGCTGACCTGGGAAGACAGCTTTCTGATGATTAAACCCAAGTGACAATGCCACTGGATTCCGACATCTGTCACAATACTACCTGCTGCTACATAATGTGCTACGCCAAAAGAATCAGCTCTCGCTGCTCCTTAATGCAGATAAAATGTCTATTTGCAGAGTGTAATTAATCTCTTCTTCAAAATCGGGAACCTTAGTGTCCTTGGTAACAACATGCCAGTGACTCAGAGCGAGTCTCAGCTTTCTCCTCTGGTTTTTGAGTGATACTGGAAGTGACCCCCAATTCTTGCAATGGAAAGGAAACGGGCATCACAGGTGGAGCAGCCACGGGGTGCATGGGGTGGAGAAGGGTTCAGCCCTGCTCCGGGCTCTCTGATGGTTTGGGCAGGCCAAAAGGGAGGTGACCAACATTAGGTCCCCAAGGCACAAATCCCCCTTGATCTCACTGATCACCATTGGGTGACAACATGAAAGCAGCAGTGCCAATCAGAGCATCACACTGCACACTGCTCTGCCCCGGCTCCCACCGCGGGATGGGACCCAAAAGTCAAATCCTCCACCCCAAAGCACTCAGGGCTGCAGCAGCTTTCTATGAACACGGCTAGGAAGCAGCCACTGCCTCTGGGTTCTGCTCACTGACCCAATTCCAAAGCCCGAGGGAAGGACGCGCCGTGATAAAGGGAGAGATGCTGGAAGGAGGAGGCGATGAGGAATTGTATGATTTATTTATTTCCTGGCAAAAAAAAAAAAAAAGAAAAAAAAAAGAAAAAAAAATGATGTGTTGGCTGAAATCAGCGTATTCCAGGCCAAACTGTGCTGCAGCAGAACCTCGTGGGACTTCAGCTGAGCAGAGCTGGGGAAAAACATGGGGAAAATATGGGGAAAACATGGATAAAAGGCAGGTTTGGGTGATGATGAGGGCTCAGCTCCTTCAGTGCAATGCTGTGAAAGCTAACACCTTCCATTTGGAAAGCCAAATGGGTCCAGATGCTCCCAGTGTAGCCCAGTCTGGGCTCACCTCATGTTTTCCATCCCCAGGCACCCCAAGGGAGAGGAAGAAGAGTCCAGGAGGGAGGAAGGCTCTGAGCCTCGTGCCACCTAACCGTGCTGTGGAGCCAGACCAGGTGGGATGGATGACATGGGAGAGAGTCATGGAACGGCTTGGGTTGGAAGGACTTCTGGGGAAAGTGTGGAAATGAAGGAGAACTGGGGAGAAAAAGCCTGTTCTTTTGCCTTTCTGTCCTGCCACATCTCTCACAGGCTCTGCCTGCTGTTTAATGGTGGTTTCTCCATGTTTCTCCCAGGATTTACAGGTCTCTTTGCCTATCGGTGAGGCTGTGTGCGCTCTGGAAAGTGGCTGCTCCTGAGGTGCATGGAAATAGAGACACAGAGCCTGAACTGGGCAGACCGGGGGGGAAGAGCCCTTTCTGGCACTTCCAACAGTGCCCATCTCCCAGGTGAGGGTACCTCCAGCCACGTGGATACGGGGAGCATCCTGACTCCTGGATCACCTCAACTAACAGCTCCTTCTCCTCCTGCAGCCTCCCAGCCTCAGAACACATCGAGAATCCCTCCAAAACCCACCTCCATGGTGCAGCTCAGGGTGAACCGAGGCCAAATTAAATCCTGAATGCTGTGTCCGGGGGGGCTTTGGGTAGTCCCACAGCAATGCCCTTGGGGAGCCACAAGGCAGCCCATGGGCACGGGGCAATGGCACGCTGTGCTCCCGGCACTGGGACTCTCCCAGCTCTCCCACCCGTGCACACACATTAATAAAAGATCAGTTTGCAGACGCAGTTTGCTGTAGATGACAGCATTAGAGGCGCATCTGGTTTCTGCTAAGCACCGCTCTCGTGCTGGGTTTATTTGGTCCATTTGTGGCAGGGAAGAGTTGCTTTCGGCATTCAGTGGTGTCTCGTGTCTGGGAGAGGTGGGGGGGAAGATGTATTTTTGGTGCAGCTTAGCCACAAAAATTCGGTTTCAGAATAAAGACAAATATTCCTGTTTTCCATCCGCTGCCAAACGGAGCCTTCGTTTGTCTGAGAACTTGGCATCCTGCTGGAAAAAAAGATGTTCTGATGGGAAAAGTCCATGGGTTGGTATTGATCAGGCATTGGGACTGGCAGATGTCAGCTTCAGCCTGGCCAAGAAAGCAGTTCCCATCCTTTCCGCAAGGGGTGTGAAGGAGGAGGAGGTGGCGCTTTTGTGGTTTTGGCTGCTTTTGGCCGAATGTTGGCGCAGCAGTGGGAAAGGCAAGCACCTAACCTGGGCTGCTCCCAGCTTCACTGCACCTCTCAACCCTTCCCACCTGCAGGGCGCAGGCAGACACTGCAGCTCCCTTCAGACTGCTTCTCTGCAGGGAGAACTTGCTGAATGTCCACAGAGGTTTCCTAATACATTTCTTTTTCCCTGCTGAAGCTTTTTAATTAAACCTTTCCGATCCCAACTCACTTTTGATTTTACTTTCATAAAGGCATTGTGATATTCAGGAAGAATAAAACTGCTATTGTACCTGGAGCTGCCTTCATTTTACAGCAGAATGAAAGCAAATGTGGAGTCAGTAGTGCCAGGAGCAGAGGGAATGCCCATGCAGCACAGGAGAGACTGGGGGCTGGAAAGACAAAAGCTTATCTGGATGGGAGCCTCAAAAGCAGAATCAGCTCCTTGGATGCTATACATCACCTGTGCTCCCTGGAGGTGCTGGTACTGCTGCAGCACTCTGTGTATTGATTTAAGGGAGAATAAAGGTCAGGAGCTGAGCGGGAGGAGGCTGAGCACGTTTGGGTGGGCAGTGATGAGCGGAGCTGCGTGTGGGCAAGGACAGAATGGGGAAGGAGATGAGCCAGAGCTCCAACAGCCCCAACGCGTGAGCGCAGAGCCCAGCACAGCTCTCCTGGCAGATGGCTGAGCCCACCAGCAGGGCTCATCCAGCCACAGCCATCCCAGGTTTAGGGAAAACCCAGATTTCAGCCTAGGCTTTACCATCAGCAAGTCTGACCTTTCCTCCCATTTGGACTCACACACATACGTAGCCAAAAAAAGAGACAAAATAAAAGCAGAAAGGAGCACGCCAGCAAAGCGGAAGGGCCAGCTGGACGTGGCACAGACGGCCGGCGCTTTGGGTCACTGCGCTGCGAGCTGTGCTCCATCAGCTGCATGGGGGAGTGGTGGATTTGGGGCCGAAGGTTTCCTGAGCCAGCCCTCAGTCTGGGGACCTTTGGGACGGATGGTTTCATGAGAAATAGCCTCGATTTACTCAACCCGTTGCAGCAATCGGCGGCTGGCCGAGGTGGCTGCCGCCTGTGCCGGGATGCGTGCTGATCCCAGGAGGTCTTCAGTGGGTGGGAGGGGAAATTTGCTCAATCTCAGAAACTGCATCGCTGCTGCTGGCCAAAAGCTCACTGTGCTTTACGAGAAGAGCAGGTCCTGCAGTGTCAGCCCTCGTGGCCCCTCCTAGGGGATGCATTACTGCTGGGGAGGAAGGGAGGGTTGGGACATCTCCACCTCCCGAAAATACGTTCTGGGAGAAACCAAACGGGAAATGGAGGAGTGGGCTGAGCACAGCTGGGTTGAGGACCTGCAGCCCCACAGAGGCTTACTGGAGGCGAAGCCTTGGGCTGCACTGCGCTGCTCCCCGGGGTCTTGCTGGCTGTCTGCTTTCATCATTGCTCTGTGAGAAGGGAAAGGGACCACACAGCAGCAGAACGTCCTGGAAATGTGCGAGGGAGAGCGTTCCCAGAGCCCTTCCCTCTCCCATCGCCTCCGTGCACAATTGGCTATGGAGGATGTATGGCTCTGTATAGGCTCCAGCTCTGTGAGATAATGCTTCGCAATGACATCCCTAATTACAGCCAGCAGGAGCACTTTCCCAGCTCTGATCGCACACGCAGTTTTCTGCTGGACCAAAAGAGATGGGACCCAAACTGGCTGCATCCCCTCTGATCCCAAGGCATCCTGAAAGTTCCTTGCATCCCATAACTTGTCCTTTCATAGGAGAGAAAAACAAACAAACAAAAACAAGGAAAGCAAAGCTACAATAGAAGCAGAAGGAAAGCACTTCAAGCTTCTTAAGTACCTCATGGAAGAAAAATGCTTCTTGGGGCTGTTCAGGGAAAGAGAGGGTCAAATGTCCCTCATTACTGCTGATTTACTCAGCGGGCTGGGAAGTGGGAGAGGGAGACGGTCCAGCTGCCTGCTCTGTGTGCTGGAGCCTGGATCTGGGATGGGATGAGGACAGGAGATGGGGAGGAGGCCGTTTAATGGGGCTGTTTCCCAGCAGAAGGCACAGAGCACCCATCAGCAGACCGGGACCCTGCGGGCCTCACCTTCACCAACGCAGGGTTGGGCTCTGGGCTGTCCATGGCAGCTCGAGAAATCATTGACTTTCAGCCAAGGGCAGAATGGGAGCCCTTCATGGGGTGGCAGGCAGCCCTGGGCAGCTGGAGCCCGGCAGGGAGGAAGGGAAGAGCTCTGGCCCAGATTGGAGGGTGTAAAGCAGCAGGGTTCCTCTCCAGAGAGAGCTCAATTACATAGATTTACACTTGCTGCGGATTTGGTCCATTCAACCCAATTAAAACTGCAGAGGAAGAGCAGAGGCAGGATGTAATTACCCGCACTGGAATCCCGGCTCGGAACAGGAGGCAGAGCTCTCCGCATCAAATTAATCCCTGGTGCAACTCTGCCCAACTTACACCGGGGCTATAATTGGTCTGAAACATTTTAACTATCTCATTTAATGTTATTCATGCTCTGCTGGAGATGAGAATGTTTATCCCAAATGAGAGACTTTAATGCTGCGTAGCAATAACAGTGCGAGGCTTATGTGGTTTCTCATTTACGCGGGTGCTGGGGGGGCAGATTGTCACCGAAGATGTGGCTCCCCAAATCTTTATCCATTTCCAAGGCTCCTGTGGACGCTGCTATTGTCTTTCTCATTCCTTCTGCCTCCCGGCTCTTTGTAGGCATTACCCTCATGTGAATTTCCAGGGTTTCCAGACTGCTTTTAACAATGCTGAGCTTTCAAGTTGTTTCCTACTGACTTTCTCCTATGCCTTCTCAGAGCCTAAACAGCATCGATTACTCCCAGATGTCTGCACTTTGCTAACCCCGGAGCAGCGTTGTGCAATTGTTTGGAAAGAAGGCTGGTAGCAAGCAACATTCCCTTTCCTGGTTCACCAAATTACTTCCTGAACAGAAGAGCAATGAGATTTATCATGCGGATGCAATCCCTTGGCACCAGGTGGCTGCAGGGAACAGGCGTGGAGGTGGCTGAAATCCTCTGGCTGATAAAGAGAATTCTCCTCAAGCATAGGTTGTTCTCCACACCCAATTCCCCCTTGTCCTCTCAGCAGGATGCTGTTGGGGTGATGAGCCCATGGAGAAGCCCAGGAGCAGGGACTGCTCTCACCTCAACTGGATCCCAGCCATGAGAAGGCCACAAGCCAAAGGACAGCAGCACAGTGCAAGTTTTGCTTGTCCTGAGAGGATGCATGTGCAGATTGCAATGGGTCTCATGGGGAGCAAGGAGCATCACCTGACTGGCCACACTCCTAACGAACCCCACAGCCCTCCTGACCCCTGCTGCTGTCATGCTTCAGCCTCTCGCATTGCTAAACATGCACAAAACATCTCCGTTCCCATAGCAGGGTGTAGCCGAGTTGGCAGGAGATGAGGTTCCTCTCATCCATCAATCCGTCTTCCCGGGGTCACCCCAAATTTCTCAGTGCCTCCGCCCATCCTGCCTGCATCCTGCAGCCCCCACAGCCCCAGGCTGGCAGGATGGATGAGGACATCTCACAGAGCACGTGGAGCAGTACGCCTGGGCAAGGCAGGCAACAAGCAGAAGCACAGGAGTAGGAAAAGAAGAAGGGAAAATAAACAACTGATCAGAAAAGAGCATCCAGGGAGCATATTTATTTAGCAGAAGGCTGAGTTAAAGGACAAACCAACCTCCCCAGCTTCTTGGATGGGGTTGAATGCCATGGACCAGGAGGGTTGTGTAGCTTCTGAAACCCAGAGTGTCCCCAGTGCTGAGATAGACAGAGCATCCCCATCGCCATCCCCGGCTCCAGCCAAGGTGGTGGGAGCAGGACCAGACCCCTGAGCTCCAAGTGAGAAGCATCAGCGCTTGGAAAGCGCAACCAATTTGCTTTTAGTACAGTTCATGCCTCTCCTACAGTGCCTAGAATAACAAATTCCTTCCACCCTCCAAACCTGAATGCTGGAGGAAGCTGCTGAGAAACTTAATTGATTAGCTGGATGCGTGCATGGAAAAAAATTGCCAAGCATCAAGGAAGTCACTGCGCTGTCAGTTAATGCTAGTGGGAGAATAGAGAGACCAGCTGCAGGTTTTCTATCGCACAGCCCCTTCTTTTAGCTTGGGAACAAGGAGAGGTGTGTTGTGATGGGGTGACCCATTCTGCAGTCACATCGAGGGCCTGCAGCGTCCACACCGTGCTGACCACCTTCATCCAGGGAGGGCAGGGCTGCCTGCACACCTCACCCCGTGGGGCTGATGCTCTCAGCATCCCCAGCTCTGCCCCCACCTGCTGCAGGGTCACTTGAGGCTGTCACCACGTAGGATTGTTTCCTGGCAGGAGAAAACAGGAAGCCAAAGGCCTGCGAGGGCTGTGAACTTGCCTGTCATGTTCCTTGACAGCACCAATACCTTTTGCTGTTTGTGTTTTTCTCAAACTGTCACCACCCATCACACCCCTTGTTTAAACTCCTGATCCCGAAAGCTTCCCCGAGCCCTCTGCAGAAGGAACAGAAGCAGCGTACGCCGTGTCCCAGGGGTCAGATGCTGTCACAGAACCAAGAGCTGACACCACCAGGCTCTGCAGCTCCTTAGAACAGGCAGAGCCAAGCGCGAGCCAACACTGAGCCCCCGCTCCCCAGAAATGCTCAGCCCCACTGTGCTGAGCAGTGCTGCTCCCCTGCTTCCCCCGTTGCTGCTATTTGACCTGAGCAGCCCAGAGGAATTTTAGTCACGGTGCATTCCTAGCACAGCATCTGTTTTCTAGAGCAAAACGGGAACAGCTGCCAAGAAACAAATCTTCCCCCGACGCCTGGCACTTCTCATGGGTGGAATGAAACTTCTTGAAATCCCAAGAGAAAAACCACCAGATCTCGACTGCAGCAAAACCCATCCCCTGCAGGGAGGGGGCTCCGACGCGGACTAATGAACTCCATGATAGCATCCATACGGCACCACTTTGAAAGGCGGAGGAAAAGAGGAGCTAAAGAAAGATCCCTTCCTTAGTTGAATGCTGCATGAAGGAGTGCACTTTGGCTGAACCCCCAGCATCCACCTCCAGCTGCCCTGTGTCCTGCTACCTGCCCAGGCTTGCTGCGAGCGGCAGGATGAAGTCAGGTAGATGGTGCTGATAGGGAACACGGAGGGCTGACACATGGCGCTCTGTGAAAGGGCTTCTGAGGTTTGGCAGGGCTCAGCAGGGCTGTTGACACAGCCTGGTGCTACCGGAGTCAGAGGGGTGAGGAGGGGTGCACAGAGCGTGGCATGGGCTGTGCCTGACCTTGCAGAGCTGGCAGGGGAACGCAGCCCCTTCCCACAGAGGTTCATACCCCAGAATTACCTGGGTGTGGGACAGAGCTTGCAGCAGCACGCAGTGCCTATGGGTCGCTCCGCATTGCTGTGGCTCAGCTGGTTTCCAGTGGAAGGTAAAAGCTGATGTAGGCAGTTTCTGGCTGCTGGGAAGAGAAGGAGCAGAGCTGCTCAGGGAGCTGATGCAGTCAGGGAGCTGCTCTCCAGGGAGCAGTCACAGTGCTGGCTCCAGGGAGGCAGCAAGGCCGTATGCATTTCCTCGCTCCCCTGATTGAGACTTGTCTCCAAAGCACCCACTGCAGTGCTCAGCAAACTCAGCCTGGTCTGACAGCACTAAGCCTGATGGATGTGCAGCTGCCCCTCCTTGGCGTACCGTTTTAGCCAGAGCTGCTCAAACAAACCCAAGCAGAACAGGGCAGTTTCTCCACCCGTGAGGCTTTTCAGGCTGGAAGTTCACAGCCTGCACAGATGTAGCGCTGCTCTGCTCAGTGACACCGAGCGAGCTCCAGCTTAGATGCATTTCAGTCTTTCCTGAAGGTGATGTGAAGTTCACATTGCATCACACAGCACATCTGCGGTCACCGAGCCCCAGGAGGCTGCTGTGAGTGCTGCAGTGACTGAAGCTGCTGGCTGCAGCAAGGCATGGCAGCTTTTCAGCACCTGGGTTGAACATGGAGAAAAAAAAAGGGGAAAGAAACATCCGATACTCGAGAAAAAAAGAGATCATAAGTGATCCAGGATCTCAGGTCAAGTCTGCAGAGTAAGGGAGCCTCAGCAAGACCAGACTGCAGCTTCCCCTTCCGCTTCTTGGCCAGACCAGGCCGTTCTGTTACAGCAGCACAGGAAACGTCCACTGCCGCAAACACCATCTGCTGAGGAGGAGGAAGGTTTCACACTGCTTCTCTCTTTTATCTCGCTGGAGGTTCTGCACAGAGCTGGCTGAAGTTGGCAAGAGTAAAGGAGACCCCTGGGGGAGCTCACCCAGTGCTGCCTGGGGTGGTGCTGAGCTGCCTGGAGGAGGAACATAGGGAGGGGGGACCAACAGCAGGTAGACCAGCAGCTCAAGGAAACACCATGGGCACCCTCACTGCAGGACCTGCAGGTAGGTACAGGAGTGACAGCAGCAAAGTCAGCTCCTAAAACCCCCCAGTGGGCAGCAGGGCCTCTCTGCAACAGCATCTTCTTGCTGCAGCTCAGCACCACACCAAGCGGTTGAAGCAGGAACACAGATATTAGGAAGCAAACACAGCCTATTTCTACAGCCACATAGGCTGTGTATGCCAGCCAATGACGGGCAGTGACACCCTGGGGTGGTATATACCCTGCAGGGTCCGAGCAGGATTGGGCAGGAGCAGAGCACGTGAGAGCAGGCAGCAATGAGCCCTGAAGGGGGCTGGTGGCCAGCTGAGACATCAGGTTGTTGAGGAGCATCGACCTCGCTGCTCCCCGGGGACCTTGTTCTCATAGGTCCCCACACCAAGGACACAGTCTCTTTTTCTCAACCCAAGGTCTACCCCGCATTAAGAAGAATGGCCCCTTTCCCCAGGATCCCCATGGGGGCAGATGCTCCAGGGCTTGGAACCTGGAGAGCAGCCACTGGTCTCCAGCAAACCCTCTGTACCCAGGGCTTCAGATCCCCACCAAGCCCCCCTCAGCTTGGAGCCCAGCCAGGACGCAGCTCTCACCCTTCAACTGAGAGAAGCTGAATTGGAGTCATTTTACCAGCTGTGTATTCAGAGACTATCTAGGGTTTCTGCTGTGTTAATGCACCAGGTGCTGGCAGTGCTTACTGATGTAGAAGAGGAAGGAGAGGCAATGGGCTGGGAATTGGAAGCCCCCACATCCTGCCCCTGTTTCTTGCCCCACTCCCATGCAGGCACAACGCTCCACTGAGCTCCCCAGCTCCTGCTGAGTTTCACCAACCACGAACCTCAGGGCCGGGAAAGAAAAGCACTCACAGCATTGATCCCAAGCTGAAATGCCCCAGCGATGAACTTGGGATCCTACAGCACGAGGTGCTGGCCAAGCCCAGACATCAAAGGCACTGCCTGTGCCAAACTGCAGCCTCTTGGAGGGAGACGTTAGAGCACCGATAATGAATTTGGAGCCTCCTAAAGTGTGCTGGCAGCTGGATCTTCTGGGCAAGGAGAACCCTGCCAAAAAATTAAGATCTGTTTCTGCAAAGCTCAAACAGCAAACTTGTTTGTCTTTCCTCCTTCCCCTCCCAATCCTGTTGTTGTTTTAAACATTTACAGAGAACTTTATACTGTTTAAAGAACGATTTGGGAGGGGGAGAGTGTTCCTACTTCTTTTGCCAGCTGCTCCAAGTCAGCAGCACCACACACACAGCTTCTGGGAAATCAGGTGCTGTGGTTTGAGATGTCACCACCCCTCAGCATCCCAGGCACCCGCTTCAAAGCCTCCACCAGAAGGGCCACCCCATAGCCACCGGCACGTGCAGGAGTGCCAGTCCCTGGTCTGCTGCTCTCCCCACAGCTCCTCTTCAGCCCCCATACGAAGCTGTGCTTTGTGCCCCTCCTGCAATGGGGAGAGGTGGAAGAGAACGCTGGCATGGCAGAGCACATCCCCGAGCAGAAGTGCTACGGGAGATCAGCCATCTCCTGTGGTGTGTGCTCACCCGCCCACTGCCTTCAGCAGCCAGGCTGCTCGAGATGACAGCTGAGGGGAGAAAGGAGAGCACTTGGAATGCGCAGGAGGAGAGCTGGCTGAAGGCAGACCTACCTTTATGCAACAGCAAAGGCATGGGGTCAACAGCAAAGCAGCGGCACACACGCTGGTGGTTAATTCGGGAAGAAAGGCACATGAATCTCTGTCTTTTGCGGGCAGCTCTCCAAGAATTTGGGGGCTGTTGGAGTTGTACTCGCAACCTGGCAGGGGGGAAGAGAGCAGGGAAGGCTGTTGAGAAATGCTGGAGGATTCTGCAGGATGTTTGAATTGAAAGAAAGGACAGAGAAGCATGAAGCATGCTGTGGAAGCAGGATGTGGGATAGAGACAATGTTTATACAGTCAGCCATGGGCTAATCCACAGGAGGCTTTGGAGACCATAAAAGCCATCTGTAAGTGGATAGATCACATTCTACAGGAAACTGGTGGTTTAAAACAATGCTACCCTCATGCTTTGATCCATCCTGAAGCCTTGGGAGCACAAAGAGAAGAGGAGGTTAAGTAGGTCCCTAAGTCCTGCTGGCACAGGCAGAGTGGTAGGAAGGACCAGTTGTGGACCTGCTCCCAAACAAGAACTTGGGGCCATTCAGACAGAACTACAGCAGGCAGGTACAGGGCAAAAAGAAGGACTCTGGTTCCTCTCAAAGCTCAGGCAGACCAAGTCTTCCCTGCAGGAAGGGAGCGGGTGTCACAGACCCACAGAGACGCCAGACGAGTTCTTGACATTTCCACTCAAGACAAAACCCATGAGTGGATGCACAGAGTGACACCTGGCTCTTGACGACTTAAAAGGACGTGAAATAACGCGACCTTTCGTGATTTAAAAGTGTTATTTCACATCCAGCAATGAAACTAGCAGGGATGGTATTCTTAAAAACACCTCAGAGCAATCATCTCCTTCCTCTGGTGCGAACAGTGAGAAGCAAGAGGTGAGCCAGAGAAATGGCATCTGCAGTTCTCCACTTTCAGTATGGAGATGCTGGGGATTCATATTGTTCTCCAACTGAACCACTTGACCTCAGTGCAGTTCAGGCTAATTACTCCTAAGAATACGTTTGTTTGCTCCCTGCATGGCTGGCATGTTTCTTCTAAGAGTGATAGATGAAATATCGCTTTTGTGACAGCACAGTTTGGGTTGACTGAATCAACGGCTGTTGGCTGAGTAATCCAGGCAAACAGAAACACTGCTTGTGATAAAAGAAGACCTGAGAATTTCCTCATTAGTGCCTAGATATTTTTATACCAGTTCACTCCCTTTCTGCTTACCATGCCTTTAATCTCCAAGGCTGATGCAGAAAATAGAGGGGACTCATCTCTCTACTCAAAGCAAGGTCATCTCCTGGCAACTGCTTATTGAGCTGGGACAGCACACGGAGACCAATTTTGTTGCACTGTGCTCAAAACTCAGTTGAGGAAAGGGGAAAGAAGTGGGAAGAACAGTGGAGGGAAGCTGAGAGGGAAATCATGACCATTCTGGGCTCAGTGGCTGAAGATACCATTTCTTCTGCTGCTCAGCACCAGCAAGGAAAGGGAACCTTTCTCTTTCTCCATCACCTGCAGGAATCCATACCACAGCCCTGCCTGAAGATACCACCGCTCTCCCAGAAAGGCCATCCTTTCTCTTCATATTCTGTAAAAATAAAGCTCTTACCATTCTTGGTACAAAGCAGAGCATTTCTGAGGCTGCTAAAATTCTCTTTTGGTAGCTTGGATGAGTGGGTTCAAGCATGTATTTAACATTAAATGGAGGCCTAAGCTTTGCTACCAGGAAAAGGGTGTTTAGTTTGCAGCATGCCTTGTCCTGCGTGGGAAGATGTTGCTTCTGTCTGCTTCTGAGCTCCAGAGAGCCTTTCTTGTACTGCTTGGGACCGACTTGAGGCAGCAGGCACCAGGCGTTGGGACCTCTTGGCAGGCTTTTCTTAACACTACAGATCTTTTTCCCTTACAAGTCTGGCACCTGAATTAGCAGCAAATGATCTCCAGCTGTTCCACAGGGGACTGCTCTTTGTGCACTGCTATGCATGCAGCACACGGAGCAGAGCCAAGCATCCATCCAGCTCCTCAGCTTCTCCTCGTGCGTTGTGCAATTCAGCCATGCAGGGGGCTGGTGCTTGCCAGACACAATTAGCTATAGGGGATGAGCCTCTGAATGTGCTCATATACCCCAGTTGCTTCCCCCAGCCATATGTCAAAGAAGATAACCACAGCAGGCAGCTCTGAATCAATGGATGCTTTGTTTCTCCAGGCTTTGGGAACCATGTCTGCAGAGTGGAACTGCTGGAAGGCAGAGGGGAATCAAGCTGCTATCACTAAGTATGGAGAGCTGCTCCCCAGAGGGTGTTACAAGGCAGCCAGCAGGGGAAAGGGGTGGGAAACTGGGAGGAGACCTTGTCCTTCAAATAAAGCGTGGGATCAAAGCCCACCAGAAGTTGAAGGGGTTCTGTCATTATTTCTGTTCGGTTTTCCTTTCCTCCCTTCCCTTCTCTGTCACACGTTCTGCCCCTTTTCCTGTTCTCTGATCAAGGAATGACCACATACTCCACAACAGTGCTCACACTTCTTTGTAGAGGTTAATGCTGTGGCTTTGCAGGACAGAAAGAAAAACCTTCAGAAAGCAGAAAGTGGGGCCTTACTCCAGTGCATGATTTGCTAGAGGAAGTAATCCACTTTGGATCAGCTGGTGGGAAGAAGTAATCATTTTGGGGCTGCTCCCAAGAAACAGAAGCCCACCATGCCCTTTTAATTGCTTTCTCTATTTGCTCAACAAAAATAGAAGTCCTTTGAAAGACTGAAGGAAAAAAAGCACCATAATTGATGGAGATCAGCCACAGGAAATCTACCAGAATTGTTCCAAATTACCTCTGGGAGCAGCTTGGCAACTGCCTGAGGAAGCAGAACACATTCAATCAGAACTGCCCGGACCAGACTGCAGCTCCCTTCATGTCCGTAGCTTTGCAGAGCTCCAGGAGAGCCACCATGTTCCGCTGACCTCCGGGCGGCTTCACCTCGCACTGCAGCTCCCAGAAGTTCGCACGCTGAAGATGTGTGTGGCAGGATCGCCCTCTAAAGGGAACAGCTGAGAAAACCTCATCAAATCACGCAGGCGAAGTTAAGAACGTGGGCACGGCTGAAGCAACGACCACTTCTCACCCAGAGCCTTTTTGTTCTGCTTTCAAATACGCTTGTAAACATTATTTACGCTCTGCAATCATGAATAAAGACAGCCACACTACTGCACGCTCAGCTCATGCCATTCTCCTGAGCCATTAACTCGTCGAGTCTGCCCCTGGCTGAGCTCATCCATCTATAAGCATAAGTAGACAGCTACTTTGTGGTGTGAGCATCGTCCGTGCTACAATCAAGAACGTTCTCTCCTTCTATAATCTGAACTCTGCACAAGGCAGGACTTCGGCTGCTGTATTTTAAAACTTGGTGTCCCTCAGGGATCTAAAGGGCTAATTCTAGTTGCTGGGTTTTACGTATTTGCTTCTCAGGAAAGCTAAAAGCAGGCAGGCAGGCTGCCAGCCACATCTTCACAGAGGAAACGAAGGCAGTGTTAATTACTGCCTTCCTGTGTCTCACTCTTCCTTCCAGAAGGCTCTCACAGGGCAGGAAGGCACTGAAGCTCTCGTGCAATGAACCAGGGGTTCTCTGCTCATTGGCTGCTTCCTCTGTGCTCCTTGCCTGGGCAGCTCACGAGGTTCTCTGCAGTTCCTGGAAGGCACAGAGGGCTGGGAAAGGCTTCCTAGGCAGACGCTTAATAGGGGAAGCGGCTTATTTCTAAGAGCACACTGCTGTCTCTTTGCAGCCTTCTTATCTCACTGTAATAAAGTGATTCTTGCAGCCTATTGACATTTTAAAAGAGACTTTTAGGAAGCAATACGAGCCATCCTGGAGAGCAAAGAACTTACCAGCCAGGTTAAATCCACGCTCTGGAAAGAATCAAATTCTAAAATAGGAGCAAGGCCAGGAGTATCCAGGCATTAAAAACAAACAACTCCACACTGCCTTTTCCTGGGAACTCGAGTGCTGTGCCCACAGAGGGCCTCCCATGTGGGCAGCAGCTCCTGGCCGTCCTGCTGCCACCAGAGGAGACCCCGGGGCAGACACCAGGCTCCTCGGTGGCGCAGCTCCCTGGGACAGGGCTGGGCGCTGTTGCCAGGTCAGACAGATCTGTTGTCATGCTGTAGATGCCACTATAAGCTTTGCTGTGGAGAACCAGGCACCTTCATGTTTGAGGAATGCATCTTTCCTCTGAGCACCTCAAGGAAGTGCATCCCCCACTCACAGACATCTCAGGGTGACACCCGTTATGCGCTGGGCTCGTATCCATCCTCAGATTCCTCCTCTTTCAGACTCAGGTTTGCTCAGTCTCCATTTCCTGCTGCTTTCCCTCACAAGGTTGGGCAATGCTTTGGGACCAGCAAAAAGCCAACCTTACAAAGTCCTATTTTCCCTCCCTTTGCTTCAGCTGCACCACAAGCGATCCCACAGCTTTCAGGGCAGCTTTTTACCTGCACACACAGCCAAACACCACGCACCCAAAGCACGGCTCACACATTAACTACTGCCTAACCCCAACCTCCAGCCCGCAAGCCCTTCTGAAGCGCCCCTCCTGCACGGTGAGCTCACGCTTTCAGCCCTTTGAGGCACTCTATGGCCACGTGTGCCTCCCCAGCAAACAGAGGGCAGCTGGGAGCACTGATAGTGCCGAGGCCTGGCGCCCGGCCCAGCACTGGGCACGGCAGGGCAGCATGGCCTCACTGCAGCCTGCCCCGCTGGGCCTAAGGGAGCGCCTCTGGAAGAGCCAGGCCTCGCCCTGGTGAGGAGTTGTGCACGTTTATTTCCTTATTCCTTTTTAAGGCCTCCGGGCCGCGAGAAGAACCGGGCGCCTCAGGGAGCACTGAGGGCTCCGACGTTGCACAAAGCCGCGGGGACACGGCGCTACAGTACGCCTCCCAGCAGCCCCCGCGCGTCCATTTTCTCGCTCCCTCTCTCGCGAGACTTGGCGGGCGAGGTGGGCGCGCGCAGCCCGTTCTTCCGGTCTCCGTGACGACATGGCGGCGGTGCTGGTGGTGGTGAGTGGGGTGCGGCGCCATCGCCGGCAATCCGCGGGTGCGGCGGCTCCTGGGGGCTCGGGGAAGGCACAGACGGGAGCGGGGGGCTGTCGTGCACCATCACGGCTGCTTGCAGAACGCGAGGCCTCCGTGTCTTCTTGCGGGGAGGCAGCCTTTCGCCTCCCCCAGTGAGGCCTCCACGGCGGCGCGGCGCGCCGAGAGGATGCGGCCTCGCATCCGCCTCGCCCTCTGAGGCGCCCAGGCCGGGCCGTTAGGCCTGACGAGCAGCGATTCCTCCGCCGCGAGGTGCTCAACACCGCTGTGGGTTCGGCTCAGCGCAGCCGTCAGCGCAGCGGCCGAGCGGAGAGCCGCGCTGCAGTGCTCGAACCCGGCCGTTAGGGGGCGCTGCTGCCCGCCGTGCCCTCGCTGTGTTCGTGGCTCCGCGTGCGGGGCGGACCGCGCGGTCTGGGTTTCGGCCGAGCCGGTGATGAGGTGGTTGGTTATCCCTGTCCGAAGCGTTCCGCTGTGGAAGTGTGACTCTGAGGCTCAGCGTCGGAAGTGAGGAGGTAAAACAACGGTTTGTTATGTGGACTAACTCTTATCTCTCCGTTGTTTCAGGTGGCAGCATGTTGTCCAGCAAAGGGAGAAACACCCTTTGCACTCACCTTCCCGGGAGGGTGAGTCTTTCACCGGGCTGGCAGTGAGCCTGCATCAGCAGCACAAAGGTGAGAAACAGCAGCACTCAACTCCTCATACCTCAGTTTTCTCCTATTGCTGGGCTGTAGAGATCAGGCTTGTTCTGCTGTGTCAGGTGATACCCTTCTGGGCCCCTGGGGCTGCTGGGAGGAGGTATGAAAGCCTGATGGCTTGATTAATGTAATTAAGCCAATCAAGACTGGCTTTGTTGCAGCTGCCATCTGAGTGTGCAGCCCTTTGCTGCCATGTAGTGCAAGCTGAGAGGCAGCACACAATGAATGGGAGCTTTAATGTGGTTGGTGCCCTGCAGAGCACCTGCTTGTCAGCATTGTTGAAGATGAGCAGGAGTAGAAGGGATTAGAAGTAGATTGGATGACAGTTCATTGTGGAGACACGGTTCATCTCTTGAGTGTTTGTCACAGAAGTAGACCTAGTGAAAGGATAATTGGTCTGTGTGCTTATCTGGAGGTGTGCTGGGATGGTTTTAAACTCGCATCGGGTTGCTGGGAGCAGCTCACGTAGACCAAAAGGTCACCAAAAAGGGACACTGGAGAATCCTTCCCCAGCACAGATGCATCTTTTTGTGACCTGCTTGAATGCATTTCCCAAGATAAATCCATAGATAACTTACATCTCACATGAGTGGGTTATTCTCTGCGAGCTGTATAAGGCATTTCTGTACAATGAGAAGTCGCAGACTGCGTAAACGGCGTATAAAGGTCTAAACCACCCAAGCCTCTGAGCTTGTATTTGTTTCCTAAGGAAAGGTTTAAATAGCATCTGCCTCCCAAAGCCTCTTGTCTTGAGTGAAACAACTCGCTGACAAACATGCCCCTTTGTTTCTGAGGGACTGGTTTCTGCTATGCTACGTTGAAGGCAAAGATTGCCCATCTTAGAAAGGAAAACTTGTCCAGTTCTTGCTTTGTGACTTGGGGCTGGTTTTTGTCAGTAGGGCTGGAGGAGAAACAAAGGCAGGACAGTCTCAGCTTGGAGGGTTGTTGCTAACAGCGTTCAATGCAATTTCCATTTAGGAGGAAAATGTTGTGCAGAACCCTGGGGTTGGATCATCCCCTGGAGGCAGCTTTGGCGAGAAGGCAGCTGTGAAGTCAGACCTCAAACTGGTAAGAGAATCTTTGAGTATTTCTGTTAATCTTACACTCTTATATGCCAAAACTGCAGGCAGTGTGACTCATCTGCTGACGAGAATGCCTAATCTGTGAGCAGTTCCCAGGAAGGACACAGCTCACATGGCTGCTTTTGGGCGTCCCCGGAGAACTCGGGGAGTTGGTGAGAGCAGGGCAGGAACGGAGCCGGTGATGTGCTGTTATCCCTGTCTGACAGCTCAGCTGTGAAGGAGATTGTCCTACTGAGGCTTCTGTGTTTGTTCCACTCTTCTGTCTCTGCAAGACGTAGGAGAACTGCAATGATGCAGGTGCCCACGAGGAGGGCAGAGAGCAGCAGCTGTCCTCTTCTTCCTGTAGTTGAGATGCACAGCTGCAGCACGAGCACTTTTCTGTATGCCTGTATCTGCCTTAGGAACCCAGATATGGCAAGACTGTGCAGGGACCATAATAATAAACATAGCTGCTGTTGTCACAAGTAGTTTAGTTCTACATCTTCGAAGAGCTTTTAAGTTGCTTGTCCAAACAGTAAGGCACATTTGGAGGGCAGATAAGCACATTTTAATCTTGCATAGTCACTGAATACACACTCTGCTAGAGCACTTTATCTCCAGGTGGCTGACAGCTGCGTTCTGCTCAATAGTTCCATGCTTTATTTAACAGAACTCGTGTCTGTTTGTAGAAGATCTGTTCTGTGCACTGATGGGCTGAACCAGCAGACTTGACGGCAGCACGCTTCCGTAGGAAATAAAGGTTGGTATACAAAAAGGGAGGAGATGTTACTGCAGCCAGCATGGTGGCAGCTTTGTCAATACAGATAGGCTCCAAAAAGCAGTCACAGGGAAAAGCACATGGAGCTTTGGGCTTCTGAGGAGCAGGGGGGAAAAAACAAAGCATGTTTTTGGTCTTACAAGGGAGAGGTGTGTGCTCTTGAGTCAGTAATGCACAGCATTGGGAACTTTTCAGCTGATGGTTGCTTCTGCTCTGGCTCTCTTTTCCACAGGACCTGGTGTACAGCTGGAGGAAGGAGCAAGTGGTTCCTGCAGTGCTGTTTTTGAATAAAACAAATCATTGAAAATCAGAGAGTCGGTCTTTGTTGGGTATCTGCTTTGAACAGAAATGACTTTGGGCAAGTAGAAAGGATTTCATATTGAAATGCCTTCTGAAATAAGAGCAAGCACGAGCTTACTCTCTGCCTCATAGTCTTCAGATTTCATTGTCTTCCACAGGAGAATGCCAAAAGTTGAGGAGATTGAACTCTCAGTAACTGTGACTATGGCTGGTCTGGGGCTGTGAAAGATGGGCTGCTTGTGGTCAGCTCAGGTTCTCCAAGATAAGGGAGCAGTGACAGGCAGCAGGGTAACATCAGGTTCCTGGGCTGCTCGGGTGAGAAATTGGGGGTGCCTTAACCCCAGGCTAGAAGGGAAGAAACCTGTTTTAAAATAGAGGAGCTGTGTGTGAGTACAGCAGGTTCTGGGCAGGGCTCATGGTGAGATGCTGCACCGTGTCTGCATTCCTTTTTCACAGCTGTTCTTGTTTGCCACGTGTGGCACCGATGGGTTCAGAGCCACATGGGCCGTGCTCTCACTTGGGCTGAGGAGCATTTGGTGCTCTTTTAGGTGATGTGAGAACCAGAGGCCGTGTCATGGAAGAGGTTTTGCTGAGTGTTTGTATGTAAAAACAGGCGTAGCAGGCTGCCATGGTACCATTGTGCAGCGTCTGCCACGAACAAAGGTTAATTGGAGGCGTACCTGAGAAGGCAAACAGGGCTCCACTCGAGATTACATCTGAAGCAGGTCGAAGCAGCTGAGTGCAGCTTTGTCACAAAGGAGGATGGAGCTGGAGGGGAGCAGGAGGTTCCCTGGCTCTCAGCCCTGTTATCTCCTGCCATATCTGCAATTGTCCCCTCCACCCTTCAGCTGACGTACAGCAAATGGCATCGAGGTGGGAAGAGGCTGCTTTCAAAGTGCCCAGAGGCTGCTTTCAAAGTGCCCAGCGAGCCACTGCCCTGGGTGCTGTGTTCTTCCAGAGCTCTGCTTGGGCACCCGCAGCGTCCCTGCAGCCCCACTCCCACCCCTAACCCACACTTCTGCCATTCCCAAATCAGAACCTCGCCTGTGTTACAGGAGGCAGGATGCTTTGTCCAACCCACCCCATTCACTAAACCAGGCGTAGAAGAAAATAATGACTCAATGTTCCTCTAATTACACCAAGTAATCAGATCACACCGCTCCCTTTGCTGTGCAGCATCAGCCCTGCAGCCACCACCACGAGCTGGAGGAGCCTCCACCACTCCACTGCAGCAGTGCTGGATTACGCAGGACGGGGGGAGGGTTCAAGACCACCTCCCTGTGGGTTTCCTTTTTTCTCTTTAAGTACCACGCTGCTGACAGCTCTGCCCTGCAGGTTCTGCAGCCCACCCAGTGTGACTTCGAGGCTGTAACTCCAGAAAGTTCCAAGAAGTGAGGTCTGGCAGATGCGTGCTTCTCCAGCATCTCCTTCCAGCACCACGTTGCCCCACCTGCGGATGAACGCTGTGCTTCCCATGGGCTGCTGCTGCCCCACAGACATTCTCAAGGCATCAGGAGCTCACAGCCACGTGCAGAGGTGTCCCAAAGCCACGCTCAGAGTCACAAATGAGATGCTGGAGGGCCCTGAGGAGTTGCAGGATTTCCCCGCCAGCCTTGGCTCGCCCTGCACCACCACCTTTGCTCTGCTGTCAGCTGCAGGCCCTGCTGCTCAGGCTGGCTTGCGGGTATGGGAGAGCCCTCCAGGGACAGAAGGAGGCCTTCAGGAAAGA